TTGAAATATTGATAAAATGTTGAATATGTGCTATGATACACATATTCACTGAATATTATTCAGTGTTATTTGCAATGTTTCATTTCATTGGATCAATCAAAATTCTGTAGGTTGAATGAAACACAATTACAATGTGCAATTTTGAAGATCAATTTCCATTTCATGAAATTGCGATCAAATCTCTATTTATTTGTTTCGAAAACAGTACAGAAACTTGAACTGACACATTATTCCCTATAGGAGGGAATAATATAGGAATAAACCTCTGATACTTTTCAATATTATTTTCATAAAAAAAACGACGGAATTGATTGAATCTGGAACCTCGTTCATTCAAACTGTAACACGCATATGAATGAGTCAGTATGACGGCCAGTATAAGAGAGAGGGATAAACGAAATGATTGAGAGACGTATTATTGAGTCTATAGTCAGATGGTGAACTCCTATGAATAATAGATGTCATTGCAATTATAGAGAATATTTCGCATTTTGAACACAAGTAATGCATAACAATCAAGACAACTCTCACCATCAGTATGTTATATTGAAATGAATTGATTGTCCTACTGACACTCACGACAGTGCCAATGAACTAAGTCATTTTTATTAAAATTTAACATTGAAAAATATTTTGATTTAATAAAAAGGGGATTCTCGTTAATGAATTACATCATTAATAAATGACTGTCATTGCGGAAATAAATGGGGGAGAAGAGCTTTCAATTTCATGATAATTTTAAAATCTTAATGTATATATAAACATATATATATTGTTTGCGTCGCACGACTTGAAAATAGTGTTGCGCGATTGAGATGTAGCAATATGAGTATTCTGTTACATTATTCCAATTTCTAATTTACAGTTGAGCATGTGAACGTTTTCAGAGCGAAATCAAAGTACTAAAATGATGAATATGTGTATCAGGGACCAAATTGGTTGCATCTCAATCGTTCTATTTTGAACATCATATTCAATCACTTAATGAATCAATGCGAAAATTAAGGTGGAACGAAAATCTCTGTGAAAAATGCGAAAGTCGCCTCAATTTTTAGAAATATTTAATTAGACGATTTGTATCGAGTCATCGAAAACTCTAAATACATTGGACGATTTGCGTCGAGTCATTGAAAATACAATATTGTCCGAAATTGGATGACTCCGATTCAGGAAAAAATATTCCCTGACATAAGAATTGCACACTATCACTTCAATGCGTGATAAATACAAATTTTATTATTTATTTGGTTTTTTTTGCGCGACGAGCATTCAACTAAGTCTTAGTAGGGAAAATTTTGAATAGAATACAAAATCATTGATTAGAATCGAGAGGAACAAAAAAGAATCAACAAATTTGCCATGCTGTTACACTGTATAATATTTTATTCATTCATACGCAAAATATATGCTGAATGCTAATCCGAATATGGAGTCAGTTGTTGTTTACAACGTCTCAGTTTATTTGTGATGTCGCAGCTCTCATCAATAGACCAGCGCTTTGTTTTTGTTGTCAGTTTCAGCTTTTGCGTCAGATACACTGCACGAAAAATGTTGGAATTATTTAAATCAAGTATTTTTATTGTTTATCTGTTCAATTTGCAGATATTTTTAGACATCTGATGACCTTGAGCATTGCTATAAAATAGAAGTCTATGTAGTCGCCCTATCGAAAAAAAATTTGATACACGAATTAGGTCGGATGGATCGAAAATCTTACGTGGTTGCACCAATTCATTTGGCACCGCGCATTTTCTAGCAGTGTATTGTAAATTGTTATGCATGAATATTTGTATATGAAGCGACTCGAAAGTGTCGCAGTTTAATTTTCTTTTTGATTCGCAGCGGTTCTGTTTCAGTCAATAATTTTAACACTCTGAGTTTAACGAACAGTTGTTTCAAGAGTATGTGAATATCTTTATCGAAATGGCTAAAATGAATTGGAAAGTGTTGTTTTTGGTGTTGGCGATTCTCAAGGAGGCGCATAGTGGTCCAATTATGACATATGTATGCTTCACTGCATGCACTGCTGGTAGCTACCGACAATATTTTTTTTTTTCAAATAAAATTTGTTATCTTTCCGCCAATTCTGTAGTCGATTTGAATCCCGCATCATTTCAGGCACTTTGTCTCAGTTGGCTGCTGGTGCCAGTCACATAAATATTCAATGTACTAGTTAAACACAACCTATTCTAAAGGATACCGTTCAACCAGTTTTTTAATGTTCAAAACACATGTAGCCCGTTGTAATAGATTAATTTGAAAATTTTCTTTTGTTAAGAATTGTAATATTTTGGTGAATTTGTCAATTTTCATCTTCAATTTCGAAGAAAAACACAAGTCAAATGGAATCAATCACTAGTGTTTCCAGTGTACATGTACATCTACTCCGGTAACACCGTACTTACTGTATGACCTACAGTGTAGGTATTTCTTCCCCGAGGTACTCGCGCTTGAACAAATGAAATGAATTCCGCGAAATTGTTATTCAATAAGTAGAGAGCGAAAAAAATGGCATTTTTCGTGTCTAGATGGGTGTTTTTTCGTTATATTCATACCAAATTCGTGCCACGCAAACAATTTGCGCATAATTTATGTTCCAAGCAATATGTAATGAATACGATAAAAATGAACTTTTCGACTTTTCAGCTTTTCGGCGTAGTCAGATGAATAATAATCAGCGGAAAAAGTTAAATCTCAGGGCAATACACATGCTCGACGCAATTTGGTTTGCGGCTGCTGAATTTTTAGATAGCGTTTTTTTTCTTACTCTCTCACCGTTTTCTCTATCTCAATCCCTCTGTTCCTCTTTCGTGCGAGTGTTTTTGAATGTCGGTTCGTTTTCGGTTGCTTTGTAAAACTTAAAATGAATGAGAAATAAAACAGCAGAAAAAAATCCAAAGAAAGACAAGGGAAATAAAAGGAAAGCAAATTTCTCATCATGTTCATTTATTCGGTCGCTTTGAGAAATGGAATGCGTTTGTATGTGTTATTATTGTATGTGTGTGTTGTGCAAAAAATGGCCTTAGATGAAATTTCATATCATGTCTCCGAGACTGCGGCGGATAGTATTTATTTTCATCGACCATTTCCGAAAGTGATAGCGCCTTTTTTCCCGTTTACCATCGTCCACTTTTCTCTTTGAATACGTTTCGCTTATCAACAACATGAACAACGACAATAAAAAGTTTCATTCTGTTTTTCGAATTTTTTTCGTTCGTTTTTTTTCTTCTTCATAATAATTGATCCATGATGTTGTTCGCATGGCGCGTTCTCATTTTGCATCACTGCCTCTCCAGTTTTGTGTTGTTTAGACACACATCTTCAGAATTTGTGTTGCGGTACTGTTTTCTGGCTTTTACGGTTGCTATAATTTTATGAATTTTCGCTCTTTCCCACTCTCTTTCTCTCTCTTTGTGAGAAAGCGAAGTGGCTTTTGTTATACATATAACTTTTGTTACTTAACATAACTGAATATGAAAAAGGTTTCGGATAAAAAAAATCAAGAGAGAGAAAAAAACACGAAACAAGAATTGAGCGAAAGAAAAAACGCCAAAGAGAGATAGAAAGAGCGAGCGAGAGAGAGATAGAAAGAGGAAAAGCCAGCGGAAAAAGTTTTTTTCCTTCACTTGTTTATATTATACTTTTGGTCTCTTGAAAATGGCATACAATGCATCTCGAGCTGGAAGGGAACATAGAAACGAAAAGGAAACGAGAGAGAGAGAGAGAGTGGAAAAATAGACGAAAAACACCAGCAAGCAATATCTCAGTACATTAGTTAGTGTGTGCGTATGATGCATTGTGCTGCGAGGATAAAGTTCTTTGCGCACAAATTTGGACAATATTAACTTTGTTTAAATTTTGCTTGTTTCTCCCTTTTTTCGTTTCTCTCTCTGTTTTTTTTCTCATTTATCGTGGTGCGTTGCAAAGCTAAAAGGAAGAACCAAATGCGAGCAACGATGAAACAACAACAACAACATACAAAAAAACGAACCCAACACGAGCAAAACGAAACAAACGATATAAAAGTATCTGGATTTTATCGCGGAATGCATGACGAGGGGAAAATAAATGATTCACAAAAGACTTCAATGACTTTGGTGAAAAGTGCACGTCTTGACAGATTATTGTAAATAAAAGACGCGAAATGAGAGCAAGGATGAAAATCTTGAAAATGCTTCTTCCCGCTGTACACAGAAAATCACTCTAGAGAACACTTTTCATTAGTATCTGCCAAGGCAAACGCATCAATTTGAACATGAAAATGAACACTGTTTTGCGTCAATCATGATGTATATACGTTTTCTGTTCATATCTATGCTCTATTGATTTTTATCGATTCACGATGACTTGCAGAAATAAATGTCGAAGCGAAAAGGCGCAAACATACACAATGTTTGATCAAAAAATGGTCCATTGGATTATAAGCCCCTTGGAAAAACAGATTAAACCAAAACAAGCGAGAAAAAAAAGCCGGGAAGGAAGACAAAAAAGATGAGAACAAAAAATGGTTCATGCAAATAGGAATTATAAATATGTAAATACGTCGTGTTATGCAGTTGTGGTTTTTTCCTCTGCCTCTCTACTCTTCCATCCCGAGTGTGTTGGCTCATGAAGAAATATGTATATGAAAAACCGTTCGAAAGACGTGTGAGAGATGAACGGAAAAAAATGGGCGCATATTGATGCGGCTGCCGACTTCAAATAATTTTTAAGCACTTCTGCGTTGTCAATCTTTTGCATGTCGACGAAAATGGTTTTGATGTAAACCACTGATAAATAAGGTCGGTGTGTGCATGTGTATTATGCCACATTGCAACATGTCTTATTTTCACTCGGCGATCAGCACAAAAATTTCCATATTGAAAACTTGATAAACCAACAACCATGCTCTTTTTTTCTCCACCAAAAGTTGAACCATGAAACACGAAAATAACTTGATTTTACTTCTTTTTTTTCTTTCTCTCTCTCCCTCCTTCGGTCGCGATTGCTTTTTTTTGCAGACACCCGAAAATTGTTCAGGCGGAGGCGACTGTATGCCGATGATTATATCATGGGAAGGAGCAGCTGAAATTCAATCCGGAGACGTACTTATCGTTGAAATTGACGATACACTATTATTGCCAGCCGATATGAATCCCAGCCAAGCCAACAACAACATTGATAACGGGTGAGTAATTTTTCTCTGTTCATCTGACTTTGGCTTTTCAAATTCATCAATATTGATCAAATCATACGTATATAGCATGTTGGCACTCATTCCAAGTTGAAACTTCTGTGTTTTTAACTCAAAGATAAATACCAAAAATTCCAAACGTTCAATACGTTGCCCATGTTGTGGCCTGTCTGATTTATTTGTTTAGGAAACACGTTGTTTATTCGATTGTGTGCATCTATGCATGTGGTGTGTGCGTTGAGTATATGTCGATTCCAAGCTTTTCAACAGTCATGCTTGTGCGGGAAAACTATTTTTCATTTACTGAATCTCTCTCACCCTTTGAGAAAAACTTCATTTAATGGAACAATTTTCAGCAAATCCCCATTTATTTCACCCGCTACTGATACAATTTATTGTTTAAACTGAGATTCGAAATTTATTTTATATTTGAATTCTCTTCAATACATAGTTGGCGTATAGCAAAGCCATACAAAAACAGGCAGTTTGGAAAGTGTTTCTGGGCAGTAGGAAATTTTAGTATTTGTTCAGTTGGTTATTATAAAAAAAACATCATTTAATCGAATGCTAAATCCACTTCATCACCATGTACGTAGACAATCATAAATTGCCAAAACGATATTCCATTTGCTTTGAACACAAAACCATCACTGTTTTTATTCCCCTCGTTCATTCATTTAATCTACCAAAATTCTATCTGGCTCTTTTTGCTCGAAAATCAATAAACCTCTCGAGCAAGAAAAAAAAACAACAAGAGAAAATCGCTGGATTTAACCAAATAACAAGCAACGAGAATGTAAATTTCAATCAAAATATTCTTCGAAAGACATAAAAGTTGGAAGAACATTGGGAATTTGGGCAACAATAACAACAAAGCGGGAAAAAAGAACAAATGACACCGACAATGGCATCAAGCCAGGAAACTTTATTATTTGTCGGATGCTCTTTTTCGCTCTACTTCTAAATCCAATGCATTTTTATTCGGTTGCAACAAACGCAAATGCGCGCACTGAGCACGAAGAGATTGAGCTAGAGCAAAAAAGCCAACGCATCGTAAATTTATGGTGTTTGAGAGCGTTCCGTGGAATTTATCGTGTGTTTCAAGATCGAAATGTAAATTAAGGTGTCGTTGATCCTTGTGTGAATCAAAACTCGAGATTCACATCAGAATATTAAAATTGTCTCATGGCTTTTGGCAATGAAAAGGAGTAAAAGAACAAGTTCCAACGAAGAAAACTCGTTCACATACCAAAAATATTCGACACTTTTATTGTTTCGGTTTTTCGCCGCAAAGAATCTGCATTGAACAAGTGCAGTGTAATCGATTCTCATCCAAACTTCGAAATATCCATTTCTTTTCGATTCTCGGGGTGTTATGATATTAATGGTATGTGCTACATTTTTGGGAGAAAATCAAACACGTTTCACAATAAAATATGTGACTATAACAATTCTACAATTGTTGAAAACGAGCCAACGGTGAGAGAATGTGCAAGAGAATGTCGAAATATACACACAAACAGAAGCCAACATTAAAAAAAAAATATCGAACGGGTGAGAAAAACGTGCAAACAATTTGAATATCCAAATTATATATGCAATGCAGCATTTAGGAGAATGGATGATCAGAAAATAGTCACCATATTTTCTCGTATTTTATTTTATTACTGTGCGAGAGCACTGACTCTCGCACCAGCGTACATTATCATCATATATTTTTTGTCGATGTGCCGATGTGGTTAGCTGTGTGGTGCAAATGCTCATGTGTAACCCGACACATTCACCTGATTGTGGTTGCCGGCTCATAAAGAATGGAACTTCCTCAACGATGCCCGAAGCGCAGTGAACACGCAAAAGACGAATAAAACCTGCGATAACAGCGATTCTTATTACATTTCAAATAACAATAAAATCGCAACCGATTTTCAAAGCATAGTCGACATGGATATTCACTAGATGTGGAATGCACAGAAAGTTTTTCAACCAGTCGCCACTCTTCGTTGTCGTCGTTCACACATACGTGGTACATGAGCTAAATAGCAATTCAAAAGGGCTCTCACTCTCGCCACGCACTTGAAAACCGTTTTATTATTTAGAACAAAGAAGAATATTCCCCATTTTCTAGGTTACAAATTATAGCGAAAAAATTTCGATACGAGAGTGTATGGAAGCACTTTTTCAAATGTGTATTTTCCATTTTACATATTCATGTATGTGTGTGTGTGGTGATAAGCTCGAAGCGAAATGCTAGTCTCTTCTTTACCAACTTCTTATTAATCATGCACGTACGCCATAGGGCCATGCATACGTTACCCACCCGGCGAATGAAAAAAAGCTTTGCTCTGCAACACACACACACACACAGAGAGAGAGAGAGAGAGAGAGATGAAAAAAGTATCTGCCAAAAAATGTCGGATGAATTATGTGATCCAAATGTATAATAACGTTGTGAGTTGCGGTTAGCATTTATCATGTTAATAATATTCATATTAATCGCTATGTGTACTTTACATGCAAGGTCTACATGGTGCGAATGTCTGCTGCGGCGCATGATCATATGAATTCGAATGGTTTTTTGCACGTGTTTTCGCAACAACGACAACCCAACAAACGAACAAAAGAGAGTAATGTGAAAAGAACAGCAGCCCAATGCAGACAGCACAGCTTCGTGGAGCTCGCATAAAAAAATTTGTGCGAAAGTTTTTCATTTCACGCCATCATTATTTTTCACTTGAAGAATTGCTTTTGTGTTATTTTTTCGCTCTAACGTTCTTTCGCTTTGTCTTTTTCTCTCTTCATCTCACTCACTCGTTCCCTTTGCACCATTTTCATTTTCGATTTTGTATTCGGTACATGTGGATAATAATCGAACATCCATTAAATTGGTTTCAACTCTTTGCCATTTAACACCGAGCACATGTTCATGCGGCCACGAGCAACAGATCCACTGAAAATGAGAATATATGTTCGGCTATATTCACGTGTCGTGTAAAATTTAAGCCAAAATTAATGCGGATACTTGTGCACCAAATGGTTCAGTCGTTTTGCCAGCAAAAGAGAGAAGAAAAAAAACGACAACGACGATGACGACGACGACGACGACGAAGAAAATGAACAAGCCATTTAAAACACAATGTAGATAAATAGTAACATTTTTACTTACGTGACATTTTTCTGATGTACATACATATGTAACAAACATACGTTTTTTTTTCTCGCTCAGCCACATATACACACACACGCATACTGTAGTCACGTGAAGCCGATGGTAATACATATTTCACAGTGCGCTGTGATAAACCACCCAATGTCCCAGTCGCTTTTCTTCAATATTCTTGTTATTAGGAGAACGTACCAAAAGCTATATATCATTGGTACTGACAATTGAATAAATGTGATTCCACGTTGTGCTGCTTGTTGCCAGCCTGAAAGGAGTCACAATCATTGTGTTAGGCATATCACACAACATGCTTAAAATGCAAATTGAAAATTCATCAAAGAGCAAACATGACAATTTTCTCACTCACAGCGAGAGATAGAGCAGAACAACTCTGCCTCTGATATGACACAGAGAGAAAAAATCTCTACCAGCCTAACCAAAGTTTTGATTGTACACAATAAAGTTGACAAAGTATCAGTCTTCCGTTTCTCGTTTGGCTTGTAAAGTGAATTACGACCGAAAAAACATGGAAATCACTTTAAATTAATTAAAAACATGGGCCACGTCCCAGGACTGAAACTTTTGCGAGATAGAAAATGTCCGTGTCATTTCAAATACAAATAATCACATGTAAATGGGCGCCAAGCGATACCAATAGAATATGAATTATACTGTGTGAGCTGACCGCTGTTTAATTCAAAATGAAATAACTTCATTTAATGGTGTCACTGCAGATTCTCTTCACTCTCCGACCAACCCGACAAACAACAACAACAACAATACAGTTCAGGGAAGCTATCAAATCAGTTGGTTGTGTATCACGCCACCGCATTCGAAAACATATACAACCTAACAACTCGATTCTAGATAATTAGTAAATAGTTACCGCATCACAGGCTCCCAATGATTAGGCTTTTTGTTGTTATTGTTGTCGCATGACATCCGAACATTATCGTGGCCTCATCACAAATGACATTTGTGTGTTTATTTCTATTAATGCAAATCTTCATGCAAGTTAATTTCACAATGGCAATAACGGCCTGTTCATTTTAATAAACGCAAATTCTCAGCTTTGCTGAGGTAATTATATCATCCTTGACAATGCCGCCGATTAATATTCAGTTATTCAGTTATTTGGCTTTGGTTCGCATTTTGGGGCCATAAAGCTTCTATGGAAAATCTCAGTGCAAATAATTTTGCGTCTGATTGAACCCTCATCACAACAAAATCATTCGACATCTGGTTTGTTTCTTGCGCACGAATCGAAAAATATGACAACTAAGTAGAGCACAAATCGATTTCCCCCGATGCGAATTCATTTTTCAAAATGAAAGTCAAAATGGAATTAATTTATTCGGAGGCAACATCATCATATTTGCGCAAGAATCTAATCCCTCATAAGACACACATACCATGGTGCACAGCATTTCATCATACTCGCCACAAAGTGGAAACCAACCCAAACACAAAGAAAGAGATAACGAATGAAATGATGAAAACGGAGAGAAAAGAGGATTCGGGCTTATTCTCCAATGTCATAATTATCGGCTAGGGATTCGAACGATATTTGAATTTTAACATCTTTACCGAAAATTTTTTTGGGTCTTGCTGCTGCTGCTGCTGTAGCAGTCGTCGAAAATATTGTGCTGGGACTTCGATATATCAATGCAGACAGATTACAAAATAGATCAAATGTTCTGGAATGCATGTATGCCGTGGCCATTTGTATTCATCACAAGCATTAAAGGTAGCGACGGCTACGGTCTGTCGCAATTACAAGTATATTGAGCACACATCTCAATTTTGTATAACAACAACAGCAGCAGCAGCAGCAGCAACAAATGGAACACTCTCATTTCAACATGATGCTACTCTTCCGTTGGTTCGGTAAAATGCGAGATACATGCGAGTTGATTCTTTGGAGTACGATATGGACCCATCGGTCATTCTCTCCGTCTCTCACTCTCTCCCATACCGACTAATAGTTGAAAACCGCGTGAATGTGTCTGACACGAAAATCGTAAATTACTCATGAGGGTCACTTTATAATACACACTCTGGCATTCATTCGCATTCCATGTAAAAGCTGAAATTCAGACTGTACGTATATATGTAATCTGCAATTGGTCTCAGGTGAATTTGTTATGTTTGCGATTATTAACACAAATACGCGCGCGCAAGAAACGCCATCGGTTCGTCGTTGCCAGCGGATGTTGAAACGAAAATTTGTTGCACGTGAGCGCAAAATATTTGCGTAATATTTATTGACATCAGTTTTTGATGTTGCTGATTTTGGTCCAATTGTGTACACAATGCTAACAAATTGCATATTGACCGAATGCAATTCGGGGAACGCGATTTTCCGGTCAATTTATGTTGGCGAACTTTTCAATGATGGCATTTTGTGTCTTTTTAATAAGCACAGCATTTGGTTGAATTATTATATGCGGAATGCATATCTCGTTTATCCAAATGAAAATTCACACACAAAAAGCCGCAGTCGATGTAACGAGTCCACTGTTGACACATTCCGAGCAGAGAAAAAAAGAATTGGTTCATGTTTTAATTTATTCATTGAAGTAGTTTTTTCGATAATTTTATTTTCACTTGAGGGACTGTGACATATCGGCGACGTAACAAATTTGCTGACATCCACTTCACATGTACTATGCCAGAAAAAAAAACTATACATGAATTCCATACAGACCAACTGCGTTTCAAAGTGTATGGAGCAAAAGAGGGAAATCGAGGGAGCAAAAAAACAAAACAATTGCCGAAAGGGAGGCAGGGTGGGTGGTGGAGAGACAGAAAAAAAATCGGGTAAATTAAATTGGGAAATGAAGTGTGTATGAGCACAGTTATGCCCAATGTGCTATCAAACTTTTTGCATCGCTAGATTTCAATATTCAACTCATTTCATCACGGCATTAAAATCAACCGCTCTCGAATTTCATTTATGTGCAATGGCACATATAAAAGTAATGGCATCAATTTTTTTGTATGTCCATACTTTCCACTTCAAAAAGCTGCCATTTTTCAAATTATAAATTTTTTGTTGTTGTTGTTCGCATAAAATTAAATGAGTTTATTAGTTTTTTTTCTTCTTTCGTTTGTGTCTGTTAATGTTTCACGTAACAGTACGATTTAAAGAGGGCTTTTAAAAACTATTAATTGGTACAGTTTTCTCATTTAAAACGTTAAATTCGACGCGGAAGTTGATATAGAAATGTGGAGAGTACGACAAAAAAAACGACATCAAAAACATTGTAGACATTTCAATTTATACGTGTTGGACATTTTTTTTTCTCATTGCAGACACCGAATTGCAACAGCTGTGTACCAAGTTACTCGTCCTGGTCATGAACATTGTGACGCAACCGAGGGAATTTTACTGGATATTACTCCATTGGTGGTCGATGGCAAAAAACTCGTTACACTCTATGACAAAGATCTAACCGAAGGTGTCAATTTGTTGATCGGTACGTACATTTCTCTTTCGATTTCTTTTCTTTTAATTTTTTCCACAACTTTTAATTATGACTTTGTTGAAACCATCTAACCTAAACTTTTTGTTCTGCATCTACTGTTGCATCGTACTAATTGTGTATTTTTTCATTTACATCCCGTGTACAGTGGTGTCGGATTTATGGGGTCCACAGTGTGTCCGATTAAAGGTAACGGTGAAGTCGGATAATTGCGGTGAGAATGCACAGTGCAATGCAAAAGGCGTATGCTTCTCGAATGCATCAATGGTAAGTTGGATGAAATTTGAAATATCGTCGGAATATTGAGGTTTTTCCCTGTAACAAACGACAACAACAACACCTTTAGCGGTATCGTTGGCACCGACGACGCCAATATCATTTCGATTCCGAATGCATTCGTCAGGGTAATTAATATGAACAAAGTGAACAGGTTGCATTTGCTGCGAATTTCAGTCTGTGGCTACAAGAAAGTCCTGAAGCCAACTACGAATTGCAATTGTTATGAATAAAAATGTGTTCATTTACACCGACCAATTGTACTTTTGTGTGTACGTGTTGTGCCAACCCGTGCAGTCATTGGAAGCATATGCGGTTCAAAATATGAATATTTCGAGATAATAATAACTACAATGGCTATGATGATGAGGACGCCGATTAAATGATGAAAATTGTGTGCCATTCAAATGGGACATAACCAAATTGCAAATACAATGCTATACACGATTTAAATGATGCTCACGAACAACTGACATTCTCTTTCTCTATGACCATATTGGCTATTTATGTGTACGTCACTTAACCTGGTTAATTTGCACGTCCTGAACCACATGCACGCACAAATGCACTCGCACAGACACTAGTTCGACACATTCGGCATGCTCGAAAAAGCGATTTTCATTTTGTCCACAAGCAAAATAACTAAGCTGTTGTGGGTGGAATGAGCAATCGAATGTGTGTGCGTGTGCCAAAAATATAAGCCGATTATTAATTACAGATGCAATCGCCGTGTTGAAATAGAACCGCATTCGAAAATGGCCAAAGCTTATGGGGCAATGTGTGCATAGCCTCGCTTCATGTCACACAAATCACATTTTGGTGTCGTACTTTTCCGAACTCAACTCCATGTGGTTCATTCACCGAGAGTAATTAATGCCAAAACGAATCTATCTCTAATCTGTTGCTAATTGCCACTTCAAATCAATGCCCAGCTTCGATTTCACCGTCCAATGAAATTCATTTCCAAATTCCCATCATTAAACAATTTTCTCGGTATGTTCGACCCGAATTCGGGCAGCGTCGCACTCTGCAATAAAACTTATCTCTTTATTGTCGAAATTTCATTACAATATCATTACTACGTTCATCTATGTAATTTACGCGCCTCGGTTTATTGCTTGCTGGTAATGCGCAAAACGGCCACCACGCCGAAAGAGACACATGAATCGTTGTCATACCGCCCGGTGTGTGTGTATGTTGTGCATTTTACTTCGTCGATGCTACGATAAATGCGAGCAAACGCTTTTTACAGCATCTTTTTTCTATTACAAGTGAATTGTGTGAGCTGAATGAAATGCTGAAATGCTGTGAAAAATGTAATTTTCGACAAATTCCAGCACACCACGAACAATGAGGGAGAGTGCGAACGAGAATGGGAGCGAGCGGAGAAAAGCGAAACGTGTAAAACGTCGCAACGCAATCAATTGACTCACATAAAGAGAACCGGCACAAGTGTACCTGAAGGAAATTAATTTAATGGACACAAAACAACAGCGGGAACTGAAAATAAAACGGAATGCGGGAGCAAGAGTGAGCGAACGAACGAGCGTTTGTCCAACGAAATTTAACGTGCCCAAATAAATTGGTTGCGTTCTGCTATAGTTCAGCTATGCCCCCAACGGAAGAAGTTTTGCTCAAAGCAATTTGATTGCTTTTCGTTTTCCGGATTTGTTTCGGAAGAACCGGCTCACCAAACTCCTGGACAACAGCCATTCTTATTGTTGTTCATTTATCATTTGTTTTCTTTTTTCTTTCGCTTTTTATTCTTCGACGTCTTTAGTTTCCAGAATAATTCTCGATGCTTTTCGTTTTAATATCCGCTTCATCGCTATGCGGCACACACACACCGAGCCAAAGAGAATATAAACATTAACTTTTCCACTTTTGTTTGTCGGTGGTGTGTGTGCTGATTTAACGTGCACTTGGTCCGCTTTTACAATCTCATGCTTGACTTTACAATCATCGATTGAAACAAAAACAAGACGACGGGAATAAAAAGAGCGAACGTCCGTACGTACGTAGAAATACGCTCAGTTGTCACAAAGATGAACGAAACGGCACGGAAAAATGAATTGCAAAAGTAAATGAGAAATTCGTGAAGGGGAAGCAGCATCATCAGCAGCAGCGGCCACCAGCCGTATAGCGACAAGAGGGCAAAATATCTGAGAATAGGTCAAGCGAAAAATAAAAGCCATTCCATTCATTTGTGAGAGTAGAGAATTTCCGTGGTTCGTTCGTTTTACCTTTTGCACGAGAGAAAAAAGGGAAGAATTTCGTCTACCTTTTTTTCCACGGAGCTTAGTCACGCATCGGACAATTTCTTTTGACTTTGTGTGTTTTATGTGTTCTATGGACGAGAGGATGGCGACGAGAAACTTGTTTTATTACACTTTTCTTCCCTTATTTGGTGCGCGTACAACATGTCGAAGTAGTATTGGTTATTTATATAGGTTTTTTGCGAATACGTGCACCGGTCCAATGGTTTGCATTGTTGGTTGCAAAGGCACACACACGCTCACACACATGACCATTGTTCGATGGAAATTGTCGTTTGCTATTGACACTGATAAATGAAGCAAGAACAAAAAAAATGACCAAAAACGCGTTCACTGTTTTGATCCCCGGTTACATAAACACCTCAATCCGTGTGAAATAATGCTGAAAAATTAAATGGTCAAGCTTAAGCGCTTTATCATCATGGGACCGTTACCATTATTTTTTCATGAGAAATTGCCCACGCATCCGAAAAGATAATCATTGAGAACGTTTCTTCTTGTCACCCCTTTCGTTTTATGGAGCAAGGTTAGGCAAGACAAGGCAAGGCAAAGCAGGTCACACAAAACCAAACCAATCTTCCGCAACAGATTCTCTTATTATTATTCTAATGCCGGTCAAAGAAGTTAATGCCAACCTCACAAAAGGAACAACAGAGAAAAAAATCCAGTTCATAAAAGGAAGATATCCAAACGCATTAAATTAAATTGATGGACAGAGAGCATAAAAGTGTAATGTCCATGAGCAAAATGGGAAAAAAAAGCGGCCGTTGCTTATATCCACACTTTGTCTATGTCATAATTTGAATCAATAAAAGTGTGCGGCGATGATAGCACCACGCACATCCCATTTGCGTGTAAATACAATTTGGGTGACAGAAAATTCATTCTGAAGTCTGTCCTTTATCGGGCAATTTAAGGCAATGTGCGCTGCTGCTTTGTTCGGTGTGTGAACCGAAAGTACCCAGTCAATCCACAATTAAGCTGCCGGTTGTTTGTGTAGTGTTCCAACTATTAAACTAAAAGGCCTTGCATTTTTCAATGCTTCATTTAAAAGTGGTGTTTGTTCTTCACTCATGCAAATAAACGAATCTTTTTTCAGTTAACTATCTCGGCTGTGTGTGTATGGGTTTATGTTTTTGTTCAGATAGAATAAACGTTACCGAGCGTCAACATGTCATTCCTAATTTGGAGCGTGTTCATGTGTGTGTTGGTGTTTGCCTGTGCATCTCGCCAGCAGTGCTTTATCATGCGATTCATTATATACACGAGAGTGGCCGTATAAACAAATAAAGCTTCCGTTTGTGAAACACACAAAATGTACGCCTTTGTAAAACGCGGCTCGGTCTCGCCTGTGTTCGTATTATTACAAGAGCTTACATCTCAGTCTATTGCTTTCTATCGCTCTGTTCTGCTCTCTCTCTCTCGCTCTCTCTCTTTGTTTCTCTGACTCTCTTTCTGTGCCGTGTGTTCGCATGGAATGTCTCACCTGTCGTAAATTCGAAGCCGCAATTTATAAACGACTCTCATGTAGTTTTGAGTGAAATACGCTTACAACTTGCTATTGAAACTAGCTATGTGTTTTATTTGCACAAATCCGACATGGAAATGAAAATCAATGGTTTCCCATTTCTCTCTCTGTCTCATCCACACACGTGAGTTGTGGTTATTTTCTAAGTAAACTGAATGGTGTGTGTGTAGTATATATGTGCGCCGCAAAAGACGAGATATGGAAATTTCATTCTAAGCATTGAGTAAAATGTGAATGGCTTTGATTGTCTCACTTTGTGTATCTATTCCCAGGGCTTGCCGCACCAGCTTTGCGGCCCATACCGACGAGCAAGAGTGAGAGCACTGGGGCTTTTAAATTCATTCAAGTGTTGTGTGGATGACTTTTGGTGTGGTATTATTTGTCTATTTTTGACAGATTCTCCGTTAATATTCAGCTTTTTAAAATCGTATCTTTTAAAATTCGCCTATGAAATGAATTCCCTGCCGAGAGCGATCAGATATACCAATGAAAAAATTTGCCTATGTTTTTATATGGAGGACATGTTTATGCTATATTTAAGCGACATCTTGACGGTACACGCTGAACTATGAAACTTCTTTATAAATATGCTGCCAACTATCAATGACAGCAACCAATGACAGCAACAATAGAACGTATTTGTATTGCAAAATACTTCCACCTTGCAGATGGCGCCAAACCAAACGTCATTCTAGTAATTTTTCTCATTGGATATTACACTAGCTCACACTGTCGCTCAAATTGTATTGACCGAGTGACAGGTATTGTTGTTACCACTTTCATTAACGTCTATACGGGTTTTCTACCACAATTTTCCCTTGCAACAATGGCCCGAAATTCGCGCTATGCCATAAATAAACACCGAATTTCACTTATCATTCTATTAATAAATAAAGAGCGCTTAAATACTCGGTGCCTTGTCAAAACAAAGTTTCAACCCATTTTTGAATGCAGCTATACGGAGCGCGCCGTACGGCGCAAGATGAGGGAAAAAAGCACCACTTTGCCACACAACAGTGGCTTTTAATTTGGAAATAAAAATAGTGTTTAAATAAATCGGGCGATAGATGTTTCCATGGCAAAGGAATATCTATTCTCTTGTGTCATTCATTGTTGGCACAATGCAAATAAACACACCAACAAATGCCATCGAATGGAGCTACTTTAAAGAATGGAGGCCAAGAGAAGGATGCGGTTCTATGTATTTTGAAATGTTGCTACACCTCAACCATTTTCCATTCATGATGCGAACAACTGTTACGTATGTATTTTTTAAAAGAGGCAAACCCATTTCAATGCTCGCTCCTCCACAACTATACTTGGATCGGTATGGATCGTTCTCTGCATCGGTCGGTACGTGTCTTTCGTTTTAACAACAATGTTTCATTCAGCACGTCAGCTAGGCAATGAAATGTGCCATCTTCTGCTTCATTATGTGTGTGTACCTGGTGAATGAACCATTTTGAATATTCAAGGTACATGGTTGCCGTGTGTATTCTAGCGAATAAAATAAGTAAAAAGAAAATAAAAAAAAACAACTTGGTCTTTTGATGTCATTCCACTGGAAATAGTCGTTTTTTATGGCGTGCTCCTAATCATAGGTGCTGTTCTAGTTGAAATGTACAAGTGCGTAGTAGATACATCTTCTGAACCGTAATGTCGGCATCTCTATCTCCAATCTGTATTCGACAAATGCACGGACACTCGCATTTCAGCCGTTTCCGTCGGTTCGTTCGTTCGTTTGTTCGTTCAAAATCACTTTGCAACATCGGCGGCAGCAGCAGCAGAAAGTGCGACAAACAATGGCACAATGGAAAATTATTGCATTCGAAAATGTTTGCCGGAAGTTCGGTGTTTTAGCTTGTATAGCACCCGCAATTTATCTACCGTATTTATCGTACAACGTTCACCATTCTGACAACGCTTAACAGAACTAACAACTCGTCGTCATCGTCATTGTTGGCGCGTTGCATCAATAAACTCGGAGAGCTCGCTTTTCCTTCGAGTTATTGCTCATGTTGCTACCGCTGCTATCGTCGTCGTCGAAGTCGTCGTTACCAAGGGAGGTTCAGGGGAACCGAATTTATACCGGGAAATTTTACGACATGATTGCAGAGGAATTATGAATGAAAAATTATGATTATTATTGTTGCTATTATGCGAGTTCGGATGTTCGATCCATCGTCTTATAAAATCGAAATGGAAGTGTCTCAAACTGACGCCATACACAAAGAGAAAGAGAGACGCTAGTGCAAAGTACAATAAGCTTCTCGTAACGGAATTGATTAAAAGATACAGTGGTGCAAAAGCGAGAGAGACATGTAAGGACATATTTTTATGAAGGGCACCTATCGAATACCTTCACCGCGTCGCGTCTCTCGTCCACCATTTCACTTCAATTCGCCCATTTGTGTTCTTCATTGAACATAATAACAGTAATAATAAGGTTTCCCGCTTCTTATCCTGTTTCATCATGTTCGTATTTAAGACTTGGTGGCGTTCGACTTTTGTCAAATGAATTCACATAAAACTTTTATTGGCAATTTCAATGTTCTTTCTTTTTCGATGCTATATGAATTGTTGTTGTTGTTGTTACAACTGCTGCTGTACATTTTGGCATACTTGAATGGATGCGATAACCGCTGGTGTTATCGGTCTGGGGGATCGACGAAAATTACCTTAACGAAAAACCGACTGTTGAGTGCATACCGTCAATATTACGTTGAAAGTACACTAATCAAAATGTTTCTTCGTTTCTTTTTCCGTTTTTCTCTCTCTCTCTCTCTCTCTCTCTCTCTCTCTCTCGCTCTGTTTCTCTTCTTTTCTTTTAACATGTTGTTTATCAAAACACAGGAGGGATATGAATGTCAATGCTGTACCGGTTTCGCTGGATCACACTGCGAAGAAATTGACGCTTGTTCACCCAGTCCATGTACCAACAACGGCATTTGCGTTGATTTATCTCAAGGACACGATGGAAATTCGTATCAGTGCTTATGCCCTTATGGTGAGTGTTGTTTCTTCTTTTTTTCCTTCTTCTCTCCTCTCTTTTGTCACTTTTTCCACTTCATTCACTTTGTTATTAATTTTGTCGTCCATATTGATGGAAACAATGAAGGAACTGACGTAACGGTAGCATTGTGAACGATATGGAAATGGTGAACAGAGAGAAAAACAAACAAAAAACAATGAATTTGAAAATTTTCGCTTGTCGCATGGCTAAATTTTCCCTTAAATTAATGCTGATTGAGTGGCGGTAGTGGATTTTTTTTATGTTTTGTTTCGCTGCGGGTTGATATGAATTTATTAAGAAATTTGCTGGTAAATCAAGTGAACACCATCGGATCTGATGGTGGAAAATGTGTATTCAAATTTAGCCAATTTTCGACACAGAACAAAAAAATCATATTTTATAAACTGAAACTCAATTTTACGCTAATGCCTTCATATTGATTCAAGCGCTGGTCCGTTCGTTCCGTGTTATTAATGAGTAAATAAATCGTACGCTGGATTTTATTTGTTACGATTTTAACAATATTGTTATAAAGTAACTTTATAGCCATACCGTTCGTTTATTGCACACCAAATTCATGGATTAGAATTAACGAGGTGCCGATGAGTCAGCATGTTTTTGTGATGGTGTGTATGTGCACCTGTTTTTATCTTATATAATGAGCTGGATACTATGGCGTTTATACGGAATATAATTCGCATCCAGTTATATGCGCTCGACGGTGAAAATGTGAAACAAGGCAACATTGAAAAACTAGATAAAATTAAGCATTTAATATTCATTTTTGTCGTATGGTCATAAAGAACTGTCTTAGCACAAACGGTTTGGATTAATAAAATTCGATGTTAGACAAGAGTGTAAACAGTTCACTAACAAAATATGCGATATAAATGCGAATTCAGACCGCTTCGAAACAAAGATACGTGGAGCGCAACCGTTAATGGAATTACCATTTGAAAATGCCGAGTAAAAAAGATAGTAGTGGTGGTAGGACTTAGAGAGAAAATTGAAATAGGTGGATATAGCGATGTCAGCGACCGCATGCGTATATCGTTGTTTATCTTCAGTCATAATTTTGTGTCGTCGAGTAAACAAGCAGTGCATAACTGATTCTCTGTCGCATGAAAACGATTCCAATTAAAATCACAAATTATGTGCTCTTGCAGTGCACATATTTACCACTGATGCTGTTGCTGTTGTTGTTGCTGTTGCTGCTGCCGTTGTACTGTTGATGCTCCGCAAGCGATTTGGCGTTCACTCTGTCTCTCTTTTCATTCACTGTATATATTCTCTCACTCTAAACTAAACAACATGTAGTTAATAATACTGAAAATGCTCATATGTGTGCCAACCAGAGAGACTTTGGTTTTTCATCACATATACAGCGTACGGTGCCCGAGTGTGTGTGTGCTCTGTTCGTTGCTCGTTTGCAAATGGAAATATTTCTCATTATTATTTAAAATTGAATTTTCCATCGTTGGTGCAGAAAAGCCATTTCGCACAATTGAGTTTAGCACAAAATTCAAATTTACACCGATTCGCACTGTGGTCTTGTGCTATGGCGACCTGCGTTTTGCCTCTTGCCATTACAACTGTCTTCTCTATCCCATTCTCTTCTCTTCTGGTTTCTTTTTTTTTTTTGCGTTTGACTTTTGCAGCAGATTTTCACGCATTATCGCAATTCGCAAATAGTTTTGCGCTTCGCATGGATGTTAAGTGTCGCAAAAAACTCGTGCTAACGCTTGAAAACACACACCCATATTCACACCGCGACTCATTGAAATCAACGTTAAAGCAAAAGTAATAAAAGGTTTGTGGTGAAACGACAATGACATATCGTTTTACATGGAGCGTTCGCACTCATGAACTTTTCTAAGGACTCGACGCAACGGACGGCGAAAAAACGTGCACAAAACTTTAATAAGCAACAGAAAAGCTTTGAGCAAACGAACGAACGAAAAAAAAAGATGAAATTTAATGAAAAATTAATGAAACCGAAGGGCAAAATGGAATGAACGTTGGAACACGCGACGGTGGCTACGACCACGTTAGAATTACCGACATGATCGTAGCCACGTCTAAATAGATTTTCTTCTACATCGAATGTTTGACTCGATTCTTTTTTCTTCACCCAAAGTTAGAAGAAGGAAAAGCTTAACGAATGCCATTTCAGTTGGAAAGCAATCAGTTTTCAACACATACATGGCCGAACTCAAACAGTTGGGCATGTGAAGCAACCGCAGGCATTGAAAAACAATTCGTTGCGAGATTTTTTACCCTCTCGTTTCTCTGTTTTTTTCGGTAAACATACCACACAATTTCTTCTATTCACTAGGAATGTTACAGTACATTCAATCTCAATTTAGGGCTAAGCAAACGAAAGAGAGAGAGAGAGAGAGAGAGAGAGAGAGAGCAGAAAAAACGAGAAAACTACACTTACCCGAAGACATCTTTTTGAAAGTACCGTGTTTGAAGAGGAAAGTTTTCGTCGTAAACTTAATCTTAAAATTCAATTTTCACATCTGTATGCATTACACGATCACGTCTTGTGTCATCTTCCCTTTTTCCTTTTCCCGATTTTTGCGTCAGCATTTCATTTGCACCTTTTCGAGTCCAACGAGCCAGAGAGAGAGGAAAGAATCGGACGCTTGCAAACAGCAAACCAATGAATTTTCTCTATGTTGCTTGCTGTTCGCTGGTTTTTCCTTTCTTTCTCTTTCTGCCTTCGATTTGCTGCACATTGGAAAAAGTTCAAAGTTTTACAGTCACATCGAATATAAAGTACAAACCAGATGTGATTTTGAAGGCATGCGGAGGCAAAAAAAATATCTATCACTCGAAAAATGAGAGCCTGTTGGACTCAAAATGACGGCAGAGAAAAAATCATGTAGCCCGGTCGGTTTGGACTGTCTGAATGAAGAATTTCACTACAATTAGTTTTCTGCTATGGAATCGGAGTTCCGTTTGCGAAATCAGATATTCAATGTTTGTTACATTATGAATGCGAACGAAGGGAGACGCTGTAGGTTAAATAGGAGAGAGAAAGAGAGATCGAAAGAAGAAAATAGCACATGACATCGGCTCAAAATTTCCCGGCAATCATTGCATTTGTTCATTACATAAGCACAGCCGAAAGTCGGTATGCTCGACAATGTGAGCACAGTGTTCGACAGAAAACCTAAAGAAGTTGATGATTGCAAGAATGAACGTGACGAGACTCATAAAAATCGTCACTCATACAAATGCACGCTGTATTTTATTCAATTTTGCTCTCATTTTTTTCGTCGTCGTCTTTGTTGTTGCTGCTATCGGGTGCGGTTATTTCACAGTGAGATGTCGATTTAATATGGACAGCAAAAAAAGACGAACGGCAATTTTGACTTCAATGGTTATGATGGTGGTTATGGTCGTGGTCAACTGAGCTCGAGACAGCCTAGCGGCAAGAAAAATTGGCCCCGAAAACTCATTTTAAAAAGCGCATCATCCGATAAGATCATCAAACAAGTTGAATTGTTAATATTTCACAAGAGCGTGGCATGAAATGAAGCACGAAATGGTAAAGCGAAACCCTCTGAAATAATTTCATTTAGAATATTTATCGTGGTTCATAAGAATCGCCTTTTACTCTCGCTGAAGTACACCACATCTAAATTTTCCACGAAAATAATTGAAAATCAAACATGTTTTCTGTTGTTCATTTTAATTCGGGATTTTCTCTTTTCAATTTGCTCGCTGGCATTAGCTCGAGCGCGCTCAAGTTCGTCAGGGCGTGAACGGAATTTGATAAAATTTGCATCCGATTTTTTTCTCTATCTTCTTTATTAAATATTGAATCATATTTGATTCGGAATGTTATTTAAATTAAGTTTCCGTTACCTGTTCAGACAGTAATTTTTTGTCTCCGTACGTGGGTTGTATGCCACCTACGAAAATGAAAACGGGAATATCAAGCAAAACGTGCATGCAAATAAATAACCGTTCAAAGTGTGTAACAAAGAAAAAGAGGCAAAGAGCCAACCAGGGATGCGTATAAATATTTGTAAAAAAGGAGCACGAGTCGCTTTTATTCCTTCTTTCTTTTTATTTAAATTCGTCGCTTGTGTGTCGAGGGGAGCTGATGCTGATGTGTATTCGCTTAATGCGAAACATGACAGAGATACGAAATAGAAACGAAACATGACAGTGACAATTGCGCATATGGGATACTCGTATTCCTCTCTTCATCTCTCGCTAGCTCTATTTGAGGGAGTGAAAATAAGATTAAATTTTAGTTGAAAAGGTTACAGTTTGTTAATGCAAAGCGTCAACCGAATTCAGCTTAAATCACATGAATAAATGCTCCGGCAGCTAAAACTATTTTGGGCAATCGAATGCCGAGAGCAAACATGGCACCAGCCAGAGAAATCGTGACACTATAAAAAAAATCAACTGAGACACAACACAAAGTCAACAACAACAACAACAACAACAACATCGAACACGGTGTGCCATAGATAAATTGAGAAAGTACAAGAAAGCAAAAAAAAAGTCTATAATAGAAGATGCTATCAGACGGAATATAAAATGGAACAACATACATCGAAGCATCAAAGTTAAAGGAAGCGAAGCAATTGCACAGAGTTGCTGCTGTTCGGTGAGGAAAAAATATAAACGAGAAGAGAAAATATTATTGAAAGAAATGAAGTAGAGATTGAAAACAGCGTCGACAGACATCGAAGGGGGCAGAGAGAGAGACAGAGAGAGTGAATGCAAGATGGTAGCGACGATCATAAAATGGCAAAAGACGAAACATCCAAATTCAAAGTGAAACATTTCGAGTGAAATTTTAAGGCGTTCAAATTGGACTCGATATGGCGAGCATTGACAGTGAGCACAGAGCTCACGAGTGATGGGAAAAAGAATCTTCGAAGCAGCACAAATGTGAATTTGCCAAAGATGATTTGCGTGAAACGTGAAATCGACAAAGTCTCTCTCTCTCGGTCGCGCTTGTTTTC